ATTTTGTTTTCTTGCTTAAATTGTTCCAGGTGTATAATATATTAGCGTAGCTGCAAAATGAAAAACACACACAATAATTGCCTTCAGATTTTCATATTCTCTTGTTTTTTTTCCACCAGGTCTCACTGCTCTGTTTATTTTCCCCTGAATTTGCTAACTCACCTCACTGTATCTCACCCAACTAAAGCCAGCCTCTCATCCAAATGCTCCCTTTGATTAATTCTGATCATAAGATAGGTTATGTGGAAGACATCCAGGTGCTAATGCTTAAATAGTGCTTAAAATATTGAAATAATCTTAAGAGGAGGGGAAAGGAGGGAACGTTTTTGCAGGAAGATATTGCTGGCTATTCTTCCCTGACCTATCTGCATTCAATCACTATTTCTCTAAATTGTGTGTGTGTGTGTGTGTAGAACATATAACAAACTTGTCAGTACTGTCTAACGTTTAGTAATAAGAATTGTCCATTTAGTCACTTAACATTTATGATTGTCTAGTATATGATAATTATCTTTCAATGAGAAAGGAGCAGACATAAAAATGGAAATTAACGTGTAGTTTCTGTCCTTGAAGGTTTTAGCATGATGTAAAAATTAAGCAATACTATGATCTTAAGTTTTTTTTTACCTCATAATCTACATAACTAAGTGTTCTATTGGAATATGAGATGCTGTGGGGGTAAATAATAAGGATGAAATAGAGGGAACTGAAGGGGTGGTGTGATGAAATTCAGAGCCAGAGATTTTATCAATGGAGATACTCCACAAGATGAATGCTTTTATAATATGATTATATGGTAAGGGGGCAGAAATGAAGAGAAGTTTTTTTTTTGGGGGGGGGTCAATATATCAGTCCATAAGATTAATCAGGATGGATGTCAAAGGATAATACTGTTACGGGGTTATGTGTGAGAAAAAAACTCTAAATCTTGGGATAGAATAATCATTGAAGAAAGGCTGTGTTGGAATTTAGTAGGCTGCAAATGGATTGAAGTGCTCTTCCACTGTCTCTCGGGGCCTAAGATTTTTCTCCTAGAAAGTTTATAGGTAGAACTGGGAGATAAGTTAACCTTAGGACATGGTATGTACCCACTCATAAGTGGATACTAGATATAAAGCAAAGGGTAATCAGGCAACAACCCACAACTCCAGAGAAGCTAACTAACAGGGAAGACTCAAAGAGGGACTCATGGACCACCCTGGGAAGGGGAAATACATGAGATCTCCATGAGTAAACTGGGGATGAGGGGTGGGCAGTGGAGGGTAGGGAATAGGGGATGAGAAAATAAGGGAACGGGATGGTTGAGCTGGAACAGGGAGGGAGGGGAAAATGCAATGAAAGAGACACCATGATAGAGACATCATGGGGATAGAGAGAAACCCGGTGGTAGGGAAGTTGCCAGGAATCCCCAAGGATGACCCCAGCCTGGGCTACTAGCAATAGTGGAGAAAGTGCCGAACTGAACTGGCTTACCCCAAAAATCAGACTGATGAATACCCTAACTGTCATCACAGAACTTTCCTCCAATGACTGATGGAAGCAGATGCAGAGTTCCACAGCCAATCACTAGACAGAGCTCCAGGAGTCCAGTCAAAGAGAGAGAGGGATTCTATCAGCAAGTGCATTAGGATCATTATGGGAAAACCTGCAGGGACAACCAAACCAAACTAGAGGGAACTCATGAAAGTTGGATCAATGGCTGTGGAGCCTACATGGGACTGGACTGGGCCCTTTGCATGGTGAGACAGTTGTGTAGCTTGATCTGCTTGGGAGGCCCCCTGGTGGTCGGATCAGAATCCACCTCTGGTGCATGAGCGGGCTTTGTAGAGCCCCACTACCTGTGATGGGACACTTTGTGCAGCCTTGAGGCAGGTGGAAGGGGCTGAACTTGCCTCTACTGAATGTGCCTCCCCATGGGAGGCCTTGCCTTCTTGTGGGTGGGAGTGGGGGGCAGGTTGAGGGGGGAGGCTTGGGGAGTGGGAGGAGGGAAGAGGGGGATCTTTGATTGGTGTGTAAAATGAATAAAAATTTTTCTTAATAAAAAATACTTTAAAAAAAAAGGAGTTTCAAGGATGGTATATCACCTGGAGTGAACTAGATGGAAAACAGAACAATATTGAAAATGGTGTATGATAATTGTTAACACACAGGGTAACTGGTAGCCACATATGAAATCACCAATTGGGGACACAGTACAAAAGAAAGTGAAATCTAGTAATCAGTTAACAGTGGTCCAAACTATTGTTATTCAGGAAGAGCCTGAGTTCTCATTATGTCATAGGAAGAGAAGTGATGGAGATCATTTACATAGAGCTCTCATACATAATTAATATAGCTAGGGTGCACAAGTGTAAGAAATAGGTGACATAAGGCATAAAGGAAGTTGCATGAAGACAACCAAAGAGTAATGATAGAAAAAGGCTTTGCTCTTTTAACATGAATTGGTGAAACTAAGCCAGGTATAGCATGTTTCAAGGCTAAATGTATCATCAGGGATAAAACAGATTTTAACCATTATAACAACTAAAAGGATGATTTTAGACAAACTTGAAAGTGGAATGATTTTTGTGAATGAACAGAAATGCAGTATAATGCAATAAAAGGTGGTAGCAAAGTATTTGGCAGAGGTAGAGAATGGTGAAACGGGGAAGGGGGGTGAGGGAGGAAGAGGAGGTCAAAGCTCAGTACTGTGAACCAAAAGGGTACTTGTAAGAAGGTCCACTACCTCCACATAGGCCACTCAAGAGAGATTTGATAGTTAAACACATGAATAAAAATGTCTTCTCACAAATGACAAATCAGTCACTAATAAATAATTGCTCAAATAATTGAGTGAAGAATGAATGAAGAGCATATGCTGTTTGTTTGAGCTGTCAGCACTTAGATGAGCTGTGAACAAAAAGTAGGATATTAAGACAAAGATTGAGCAGGCTGTATTCAGAGAATACGGTGGAAACCCTGGCACATTTTTGTATAAAACTGGTGAAGTCATAATGCAAATTACTTCCCCCTTTTTATTAAATGTAGATTCTTTTCTCATACAATATAACCTGAATACAGTTTCTTCTCCCTCTACTCCTCCCAGTTCCCCATCCCATCCTTTAATAGTATATAAAATGTATAGAACAACAGCTGGGCTAAAATCATTATCATTTTAGGAAAGAAATACAATGGTTCTTTCTTTTGTACTTTTCTACAATCCCCGTACAATTTGATGTTCATCCTCCACTCAAGGGGTTTCATTTGGGGAGAATAATAGAAAGTGGAGTGTGTTATGAAAAGCATGGAGTTAAACTGGAGCATCTTCCCTTACTTGCCACCCCTCATCTCAGCATTTCCCACCACCACTGAAGAACTGAATTTGGGTGAGCAACATCCATAGAGATCAAAGGTCCCCATGTGCCTGCTTTGACCAACACAATGAGGCTAGAATCAGAAGCTCAATTTAAATTCAACTTTGAAGAACAAAACAGTTGAAAATTGAGATTAAGAGCCAGACAATTTTAAATGACATAATATAATATAATATAATATAATATAATATAATATAATATAATATAATATAATATAATAATCTCCTGCAGTGAAATATCTAAAATCTAGTAAAAATCTAGTCTAGACATTTCTAATGGTTATTTAATATTCCATTCTGCCACACAACTAGTTGCCTATCCTTACCTACTAATGTGTGTCACTAGTTATTTACCTTTATTAATTTAGTTAAAGTCACTTTCCAAATCTATATAGTTTTGGAGACTTAAGAATAATTTATGTACATAGATTTCTCCACTTAAAAGTCAAAATAGAATCAATATCATCTTGTAAAAGAGTTGCCAGTGTATTATAATGAACTTTTCCCCAACTCATTTGAGACTAAGTTGCTGATTGACTTCCCCTCCCCCCATGAATACTGACACGCATTTCCTACAGTGATGTTTTCCTACTCAATTTTAATTGACGCATTACTATTCATATCTCAGATCTCATTCAGGCTTCACTAATTATTTTTTATGTCTTCTATTTAAAAATTTGGTACAAAATCACAGATGTTAATTGTTACACCTTTTTCGTCTACTTCAATAAAGCAAGAGTTCTTTGACTCTTAACATCCTTGACAAGAGAATTACAAACATTGTTTTGGAAAATGCCATTCCACTTGAGTAGATTTAGATGCTGTGCCTTTGGCAGAGATCTTTGTGTTCTGTCCTTGTGGGTGGTGCATCCCTTTGCACTCATTTCTCTCACTGCCATATATATTACAAATATATATATATAATATATATGTAATATATATATATATATATATATATATTACAAATTTAGTGATTAAAACAATGTTAATGTTCACTCCACATCTACAGACATGAGAAGCCTTAAATGAGTATATTGGGCATAAATCAAGATGTCAGTACTGCACATTCCTGCTGGAGACTCTAGGCAAATCTGTTTTCTTCCTTTTTAAAGCTTCCTTGATGTATGGTCTCCAGTGCCAGTAATCACCTCACTGCCATCACTGCTTTACTCACATCTTTGCTAATTCCTGTTTCTTCTTCCATGATTAAGGATCCTGTGATGCCCTGAACACACTGATCAACCAGGACAGTCTCCCTCCCATCTTATTAAGATCCATAATCACATCTATAAAAATCCCCTTGCCACCTAGCTAACACATCAACAGGTCCTTGGGCAGGAGACTATGAGCATTTTGCTGAATTCTGCTTGTCATACTTTTTATAATATTCACTGAATACACTTTATGAAAGTGCTGTCTGCAATTTTTTGTTCTGTAAAGTTACTTTTTACCCTCACTGTTACTAATAACTTTCATAGAGGAATGTCATTGGGATTGTATAACTATCCAATTTCTTATATGTTTAGTTTTAGACCCATGTGTTTTTATAGATTATAAAAAACTTTTAAATGTTATTTCTAAAATAATTACCTCAACAAACAAATCTCTTGCTCCAGGCTCACATTGTATTTTCTCTGTGACGTCCTTGAATCAGCCATTTCTCCTAGAAACAACTGTTTTCCTTTTAGTGCAGGATGGTATTTAGACACAAATAACTGGAGACACAATCTCTCAGCCAATTTGCTGGTTCTCTGGCTCTTACAGTCTTTCCATCCCTCTTCCACGATGTTCCCTGATGCCTGCATGTGAGAGTGTTTGTAGATATAACCACTGGAACTGGGCTCCACCACTCTGTAGTAGTCTTAGTCTGTTTCATGGAGAAGTTTCCTTGATGAAAATGAAGAATACACTTATCTGTGGGTATAAGGACACCTGTTTATAGAGTGTTGTTAGGGATTATTCTGGTTTAGTAAATTAGTGATTGTAGATTCTCTTCCAATAAGCATAACTTCTCTAGCATGGAGTAGCTAGCTAGGTTTCCAGTCCTAGCCATGGTTTCCCTCTTGTTCACCAAGTCTTAAGTCCAATTAAAGAGCTGTTGGTCCCTGACATAGTATGTGTGCCACTATTAGGGTTGTCATGACATGCTGTCTCACCAGCATGGCTGCGCAAATGTGAGCTGAACAAGAACAACACCATTAGATATACCAAAAGGGACAGGGAAAAGCCCACGTGGCCTCAGCCCTACTCAAAGAATGATAGGTAAGCAAATGAAGAAAGCTGGGAGCAGATGAGGTGGACTTCTCCAGGGAAGAGCATGCCAGCTGATTGTCCAGAGGCAAATGGCCAGTCCTCAAAACATACATGTAAGTAACACTATGTGGGCCAAGTATATATTTAGAAATACAGACTGAATAGGTTATATTTAGAAAAATATATGTGCAGTGCATGCTGAAGAGATGGCCCTGTGGGTAGTGTTAGCTATGCCTTCCTGAGGACCTGAGTTCTGATCTTCACCACCCACATAAAAGCCAGGTGTGGCTACACACATCAGAAACTATAGCTTTGGGAGGAAGGAGAAAGATGGATCCTCGGGGCTCATTGATGAGCCCACTTAATCAAATTGGTTGGCTCCATGTTTAATGAGAAATCTTGTCTCAAAAAATAAATGCAGAGTGACAGAAAGAGACACCTGACATCATTCTCTGGCCTTCATATATGCATTCATGGGTGAGCAAACCCTGTCTCTGAAATAAACATGCAAAAAAATGATGTCTACCACCACACAAATATATTTCAAAATCAATATGTTGAAAGAATTGACTCAGACATGAACATTCTATGAATCCATTTATATGATGCTGGAGTACACAAATTTAAACTGGTAACAGATCATAACAGTGGCTGTCTAAGGATTGCTACAGAGTGAAAGGAGGGAGTAATTTTATTTTCAGTATGGGAATACTTTATTCTTTAATTGAGGCATTGATTGTGTGAGTATACTCATGTAAAATTTGAAAAATTCACCATATAGAATATAAATTTTAACCTAATTAAAATAAACCTGTAATAGACTAATTCAACTAAACCTGTGATAGCCTGATTCACCTTGGAAGACCACTTTTGTGCCTCACTGTATCTTTCTTCTTGGCTTCATTATGTCACTTTGAGTGCAGTGTTGGGGCTCCAGATAGAAGCAGGCTCACTGAGTGTTTGCCTGTTTATTTATAGTGAAGAATTGACTTTGGAGGTGATGGGAGCTGAGAAGTCCCATTGTCTACTATTTGCAAGAAAGAAAACTGTAGTACAATTCCGTCTGTGTTGGAAGGACTGGAACCAGGACAGATGGTGTAAATTCCAGTTCTTTCAATCAAACGAATGAATGGTGCCTGCTCATACCGAGGAGGAGCTTTAGTTTACTGTGTCTTCTTGTTGAAATGTTAATTTCTTACAAAAACACTCTCATAGACATACATAAAATAATGTTTCATTAAACATTAATTTCTTACAATAACACTCTTATAGACATACCTATAAGTAATGCTTAATTTGGTGACTCCATGGCCTGGGTAGGGTCACAGATGAAATTAATCATCAAAGTCTAGATGCTGTAAGAATGGTGAAATCTTTCCATCTTCCTTTCCTCCCCTCCTATAGGTAAAGAAGGGGTAGGTCATGGGAACAATACAAACATTTGTAAGTCAATATACATGTGTTGAAGTTTATATGACAGTTTTGGTGAAGGTGACAACATTAGTAAGGTGCAGTGGGGTGCTCTGTGTACCACATTGGTGAGCTTTGAAAGCTGAGAGTCAAGTGTGTCAGAGTTTAAGGCAATACCATGATGATGGAAGCAGAATGGGCAGCTCTTCACATCTCTCTCCAGCCCATGATGTAGTGTAAACCCAGTTCTTTCACACGACTTGTCTGTAACAGATTAATCTAGTATGTCACTTTCACTTTCATAATCTTCCTGCTTCTGCTACAGGGCAAAAGAAGCAGAAAACAAGGCTATTATGACATCACAAGGGAAATTAGACAAAAGAAAAAATTGCCAAAAGAATGCTGCTCTTTAAGGTTGCTGCATACTGAAAAAATATCATTCTGAACAAAATTTCTACCAGTTACTGCTTAGGCTGTGAGGTGGATTTCCATTCACAAAAGGAAGGAAAGCATCCCTGGGAAATAGAAATTGAGCTAGCAAACATTCCTACTAATATATATGGTTGCCTTGGTCTTGACAAGAGACATTTGAGAGAATGTTCTGAAAGTGCTCTGAAGAGGAGCTCCCCACTTGGGGAGATGCAGTGGTCTGATAATAAAGGTGGGAAGTGTCGCTGAGCACAGAACTGAGCTCATCACATGTCTGTTGCAGAGCATACAGGCTGCCTTGGTTTAAACCAGTCATAGCTCATTCTTATGACCAAATGACTTCATATAGTGGTGTATAACCAGACCGGAATAATAATATTTAAAATGGCTCCTGCTCAGCCCAAAGAAACGTAACAAAAAATGCAATGTAGAGAAAATGTCAGAAGAGACAGCTGTTCTCCTCTGGATCTTGAGATATAGCATAAATTTGGTTTTATTGTATCCATATTACTGTTACCAGTAGGGGAGGCACTTACACAGATTTGAGAATGAAGCCTGTTTTATGCAGGACAGACTGAAGAGATGGAGGAATTGGGGTTTTGATAACACGGACGTCTTTGTTGTTAAAGCCAAATTGAGTTGGTATCTTTCTAATATGAAATGATTGTTAATGGACTCAACAATTAAATTATCTTAGAAGGTGAATGTAATATAGTTCTACTAGATGTCACCTGTATATTACTGTTAGTATAGGAAAGAGCCACTTAAAATGATTGTCTTGAGTTCTTTAATGTCCCTGAGTAGATCTGCTGTTAGCACATGTACCTCTTCCTTTTGATTTTGAAGACCTTCCCGAGATTACTGTTCTTCCTATCTAATTTATTCTTGTGTGAGAACCTCTACAGGCCAGTTAAATAGAGTCTAATGTGAAATCTGATTACTATAGTGTTTGTTGAATAATATTTGTTTTTTAAAATAGAATTTAAATTCTTTTTTAAGGACAAAAAGATTACATCATGGTCACTTCTTAAGTAACCATAATTTGGAGGGCTTTCATTTTGTGTATCAACAGAGACCATGGGAAATAGTTTTGCTGAGCACTGTGGAAGTCATTAACAATCTGGCTTGTCTCCATTTTTTTCAGTCACTCTCATACCCCTCCCCACTCTATTTCCAGTATGTTCATGTTTTCCCAGAATAGCTATGAAATCATGTAATTAGTCTCCAAATCAGCCATGCTGACACAGCCATTGGCATCAAGTACAGAAAAATTGATCAACTTACTTCTAAGAAAACACTCCAAAACAGCCATGACTGCTTCCAAACAGCGGGGAGAGTCTCCTGTGTGCATTTATATCTTGTTTCTTTTTTCAATAAGGGAAAGGGTCATTGGAATCTGCCCTCACAATGACTCCTACATGTAGTAAACACCCCATTTACTCACATTTCTGCATATGCCACATGATTTGTTTATTACTTAGACAAAGTAGATGGACCCAGGGTAGCTTCTAGATTCACACTCTATAAAATAAGGTATTTTAAGGGAAAGTAGTGAATGGGTAGATGTGAGGATGACAGAGGAAAGGTAAAGTACAGGAAATGAGATTTTTCCTTTGAGAGTCAACATATAAGATCAATGAGTAGTGACTCGGGATTAGATGTTGAAAAGGTTATGCAAGAAGACAGAGAAGTTCACAAAAAAAACCAAGATACAATAATTACTTAATTGGTGATCTGTGTAGTAAGTTAATTCAGTTTTTATGAGGATGCTATCAGTACTTATTTCACAGTGGTTTTGGAAGGCTGAGTGGAATGAGCACCTGTTGTACCAGAGCGCAGTTCATTCTCCCTGTGATTAGAGGAGAGGGACAGGGAGGATCTGTGAAAGAGCACACAGATGATGCTCCCCATTGGTTCCCTCTATGCAGAGTCCGCCCTCCTCGGGAGCTGCTTAAGTGCTAAGGATCTGCTGCTCCCTTGTCCTCCCAGAAGACCTGTGCAGTGGCTACTGTTGTATTTCCATTTACAAATTAATAAGCTGGCACCAAAAAGGTCCTTTCTATATTGCCAAGATTACAGAGTTAACAAGGGGGTAGAAGCTGGGCCCAGGACGGATCTCAGCCTGCCAGGCAACAGAGTCTGGTCCCTAGTCACTGTCTTCCCTGTGTCATAGAGTGTGAGCTTCCCAAGCAGACTCCCTGGTTTCAACTTTTTGTTCAGAGCTTTCCTAATATAAATTAGTCCTCTCATGGTTTTTAGTCTGTAGGTATGTTTATTTATAATCAGAAAATTTGCATAGTTATAGCTTTATAGGAGATCACATTATTATTTATTTTAATCCTTATTTCTTTAATTTTATGGGTTTGTGTACCATATGTGTACAGGGCCTATAGTTGTCAGAAGGTTAGGAGCCACCATGTGGATGATGGGAAGCAAACCCAGGTCCTGCACAAGAGCAGTGAGTGCTCTTAACCACTAAGACGTTTCTCTAGCCCCAGACCACATTCTAAAATTCTTTACATAGCCCTCAAGGAAAACTTAAAGAACTTTTCATGAATGAAGTTTTATTTTTCCACAAATTTTGTAAAATGCCTTTTTATTTTTTGAGAACACTGTATATAATTTTTTCCTCTATTTTAGTGAGGTGGTGAGTTATATTGATTGACTTTCAGTGTTTATAGCATTGTTACATTTCTGAGGTAAACTACATTGGTTAAGTGTATGAAAGACAGAATTGTAATACATTACTGAGTGAATGGAGTCATTAACATTACTTTATTTTTTAAAGTGTCTATTAAGAGCTGTAGTACTATTTCTTCTGTAATTCTTGATATTTATTAAACTGTCAAGTCAGGAATTTTGCTTGTAACAAGTTTGCTTAGATTCTAGAGGCCCCTGGGTCAGAGGCAGGCAGTGTATATCATAGCAGCTCAGAATCTGAAGTACACAAATAGATTTGTTGGCAATGACTTTAGTAACTGTATTCAAGTATCTGTCTAATCGTTCACCTCAGGCATCTTAAGGTTGGCATTTGGTGATAGCTATCTCTTTGGTTGGCATTTGGTGATAGCTGTCTCTTAGGTTGGCATTTGGTGATTGCTGTCTCTTAGGTTGGCATTTGGTGAT